GACGAAGGGAAAACCAATTCTGCAGGGGAGACCTACCTCGGCACTTGTGCAGGTGAAACCAAAGGGAAGATTTGCTTCATCATATTTTCTAGTCTTTGGCTTAGAATGAAGTTGGTTTGGAAACATATTCAGCTATGCTTCATCTCCTGCTTTGCGTTTGTGTGGGCGCCCGTGCTAGCAGTGTCCAAGCATTGTTTTGGGTTTTTTGTTTTTTTTTTCCCCTTTCATGCCGCGCCCCCCCTGCAATGGCTCTGCGCCCCCCCCTAGGGGGCGGGCCCCACACTTTGGGAAGGTCTGCAATAAAGTATACATTCATTCATTCTAAAGACTAGAAACAAGCAAACACAATCCTGGACAAACAGTGAGCACACATCTAATTCTGCATCTGAATATAAACCATGTGATATTAATTCTAATGCATGAGCTCAACTGTAAACTGGTTGTTGTGGCTGAATGCGGCACAGTTGCCTCACCATATTAAATATGCCCACTTAAGCAAAATTAAAAACGAACTGGTGACAAAGATCTCGATAAACTGCTGAATTTCAATTATAGCACAAAACTTGCTGATGTGGCTCTTCATTATGTGCCTGTTCAGACTGTCCTCGGTGTGTACAGATCTTTAGCTGACAGCACAAGACGTATCAGCTTATCTGTGCATTCATGCAAAAATGGCAGAACATGCATGCATGGATGAGTGCATTGTTCAGACACAGACAGAGACGGGCCTTCAACAGGTAGCTCTCAATGCTCATGCATGCGTTACTAAATCTGTGCCATTAGTTTCTAACTCATTTATTGTGGTAATAATGAATGTGGTCTGGACTTTTTCTCCCACTTAGCTGATGTCAACACATACTTACAAAATGACATATTAGCAACTTATTTGCCACTAAAATACCAATGAACCCATCAGTTATGCAGGTCAAAGTCAGGTTAAATATTGTAATATTTTCATTTTATACCAAGACTCCACAGCTTATGCTCATCATGTCCCATGCCCCAATTGAGCTAGGGTTGATTTCTGATTTATCAAAAGTATGACAGCCCTGAATGAATCCTCTTACTTGTACACAGTACCTCTGATGAACTGCACTTCCCTGCACAGTGTGACATGCAAAAAGGATTTACAGCCTTAAATAAATAAATAAATGAATAAATAAAAAGATCACTTCTGCTGGAACAGAAAGAGATCGGGTTACCTCTGGGATGATCAGCGTAGTCAGGTCTTTGGATGTCACCTGGCACAGGTCTCATGGGAGTCTACAGAGAAGGCCAGAAGAAAGACAGACGGGTTAACTCAGAGTGTCAGTGTTTATATAAGAGATTTCTTGAAGCAAGTAACAAAATGTAATATTTCCTGTTAGTGTCTGTGTTTGATTTCCATTCATTTGAATAAGGTAAATACCATAAGATGCTTCATATCTTTTTGCTTGAGCTTGTACCCGTTTCGTGCTGTGTTATAAATCCAATGCACCCCACCACCACCCTTTTTTTTGATGCACCGTTCTGACATTTGAATCAGATATTAGTCTGATCCCGATTCAAAAAGCTGGACCGGATATCAGTGTCAACGTACTGATGTATTCAGTTTAATTCTGGCTTTATGTGCATTTACTACACCTTGCATCAGTAGCAGTGGTACCAGGAGACCTAACACATCTCACGGGAAGCTAACAGCAAAGGATCAGCAGTGTCTAGATTCTCAGATGTCCTAATCCAACAGCTTTTGTCTGTATGTTGGCAATCGTTTTTCACACAAACTGCAGCCAAGTGAGATGACACGACTGAAAAGTTCAGATGATGCTTTTCCTGTTGGCTTCTTTTATTCCCCTGATCTGTTCCAATCTGTGAAATACTTGTTGGGATGATTTTATTACATGTAGATAACTCAATGTCATTTCACTTCACCTTTTATGTGTACACCTAGTTTATCTTGTCAGCAAGACAACTTTACACGCAATAACCATAAACTAGGCTTAGTAGTGTACTGAAGCTGGGCTATCCATACCATGTCCAGTTTGTTTGGCTAGTGCAGGTTAATGCAGCCCTAGATAGTGGAGTGTAGCTGTTCTGACTGCCCTTTAATTTTTCATTACTTACCAGAGGGTAGTGAGGGCGTAGTTTTCCTGTGTAGCGGTACCCTGGCCATGGGTCTGTGTTGATCTCCTTCTCCACACAGTTCTTAGATTCATTTTGGTTCTTCTCTTCCTCTAAAATACAAAAGAATATACAACATACACATAAAACAACTCACAGGGTGTCTGAATCATCTGGCACAAAGTACAGAAAGACGTTTCACCAACTCGTGACTCTAAAAGGACACGTATATATGTAAGGGGTGCCACCTCTCAGCTTTCTGAGCTGCCATTTGATTGGCAGAGGAGTCTTAAAAGGAAGCTGTGAATGATTTTGATCTGTGGTAATGGATACGTGTTGCCTTAGGCTACGTCCACACTAGCCCGGATAGATTTGAAAACGGCGTTTTTGTCTAAAAACGCTCTGCGTCCACACTAGTGTTTTCAGTCGTTTTCACAGAGTTGTGCGTTCACATTGAAACGACGGAAATCGCTTACGTTCCAGTCCTGCGCATGCGTAAAAGCGAGCGAAAATTAAAGAATTAAAGAAGAAGAAAAGCTATCAGGAGCATGTACAAACTTATATTAATCTCTTTTAGGGCTGTCAAAATTGAGAGCAATCAAAACATCTGCTGTGCAATGCACTCCGCTATCTTTAATTGGTCACATGACTGCATCACATGACTAAAAATATTTTTTTCGAGAGCGTTTTCAAAATGCTGCGTTTTTCCTTGAGGAAAAGCCGTCTCAGTGTGGACGGGAGGCCAAAACGGAGAGAAAACACATTAGGACGTAGCCTTAGAGTTGGGTCATCTTGCCATGCAGGTGTTTCTTTTGACAGTCACGCTTCAGTGTGGTTACGAGTTTAAAGAATGAATTTGCTGAGACTTAGATTTCATGTACGTGGGAAAATTAGCGATGCAGCGGGTATAATCGGCATTTTTTTTATTTTAGTTTTTTTTTGTTCAGACCTGTTTCAAATTATGGTTATCAAATAGTGGTTTTTATTTTGTGTTGACATTTTCTGGTTTTTGCAGTCACTAATTTGACCTTGTCCCACTGTCCTTTTTGATTTCCTTGTAGCTTTCGTTTTAGTAGTAGCAGTAGTTACTGCATCTTGTAAGGACTAAATAACTTTTTATTTCCATTTTTAGAAAACCTTATTAGTTTGTTTTGTGCCACTTCCTTGTTTCAATCCACAGTATGTAATGTATAGCTCTAAATTCTTAACAGTACTTGTTTGTAGTGTGTGTACCCATGTCTGCACTGACTGCAGTGTTTTCAAAGTTATGGTGTGATCACTTGCAGTGCAGTGATATATTTGCACTTTTCGGTTTTCTGGGTTTAGTTGCAGCTGGGATATTACAGGAGTATATTTGAATGTAGTTAGTATAGTCTGTTATTATTATAAATGTGTTTCTTTTTGTTAGTCTCATTTTATGATTGTAGTGTTACTTCCTACATGTAGGTTTTACACAGTCAACCTGTCCTTCTGTATTAATAACATGCACATAGATACAATGCTGCTTGTTCATATAAGCTAAGCATCATGATAGCACAGTGGTAGACAGTGCCCAATTGCACCTACTTGCTTTTTTGTGCAGCAACTTGTGAGATGCCCAGCTTCCTTTAAAACATTCCTGCAAAGAAAAATTATTGTTATTACTGATACAGCAGAAATTTTTCAGGGAAGTCCATATCAACAATATGCAACATTCACACGTGATCACAACCACATAACCCAATTATAGTCAGCTACAACTGAAATTTGGGTTACTTTCTTTGAGAAATAGCAGAAAAAGGATGGCCTGCTGCCATCGATAAAGGTCATCTTATTCGCTGATTTGCAAACAGAAACCATCAAGGCCTATAAATCAGCGTGGACAGTTAATGGCACGGAGTGGAAAGCGGAGTCTGGCAGCAGCACCAAAACTGCACTCACAGCAGAGACCTTTAGGGTCAAATACCTTTGCAGTACAAGATCGTGTTGCTGACAGTGTTTATTACTAACTATTTATCAAGCTTTTAAAAGAAATCTGAAGAGATTTTACTCAAAATTCTACTGATCATTCTAATCCAGTGTCTG